CGCAATTGTTTTCAAATGGAAATGATCAACGATTGTGGTTGTGGAGATCCAAGACTTCCATTACCCGATGAACAAACAAAGGCTTGCAATTTACACAACGCCACTCAAAGTTTATAGAATTTTTTTGACAAAAAAATCTAATTTTTCAGAAGCTTGTCTGAAGAAGAATAATGAAGCAGCTGGTGGGGTGTACCGGACAAAAAAAGCCTGTAAGTTTGTGGATCAAATTGATCTAGATACTTCTTCTAAAAGATAGTTCTTCTAAAAGATGTATTACAATAGTTCTTTAGGTATTTGTAAACAGCAATGCACCGAATATTTATTCGAAACTTCCTACTCAGCTGCCGCATGGCCTTCGGTGAATTTCGTTATTGGACAAGGGTGTCAAGGAGCTCAAGAGATATTCAATGATTCAACTGCTTGCACCGAATATTATAGGTGAGATAAAAATGAAGGCAAATCAATATTAATATTTTTAAAACAAATGAAATTTTAGAGTGAATACAGCCTTTTTGGTGAGTTCTTTTTGTTTTTGTGGGTATGTCGTTAAGGTGTTGCAACTGTTGTAACTGTTGTAACTGTTGTAACTGTTGTAACTGTTGTAACAGTGATCAAAATTAAAAATCATGCTTTCTAGAAGAAATTTTTCATTTGTCTTGTCTTTCATCAAATCTACTACTTCAATTTTACAGGAGATTTTCTATGAACAGCTCAACTATGAGACTCTGGAAGAAACACAAGGGTACACGGTTTGTTTCTTTCAAATAGCTAGCCACCAACTGATTAGTATATGGAAATAGTGATCAATAGTGAGAAAATGTTTAGATGACAAACTTGTTCGCCGATTTCGGTGGCAGTATTGGGTTGTGGATTGGGTTTTCAGGTTAGAAACTTCACTCGAAAAAATATGTAACACATAAACATTACCAATGATTCTTAAAAGAACAATTTACTTTCTTCTTTGGGTGTATCTTCTAAATCAATAAATCGACCTACTTTTCCCATATTTTCCCTTCACTATTGTTTTAAACAGTTTAAGCTATTGGGTCAATGCGTATGAAATGGCTAAATTTTTCCAGTTTACCCCCAACCAATCACAAAAAGTTCTTTTATGATTTGTTGCTAGTGAAAAGTTAGACAATAGTCAGCTTTTTGACTAAAGATTCCAGCTGTGGAACAAGTTATTTCAAGCAATCATGATTTTCATGGGCGTTTTCAATAAAAAGCTAATTCATTAAGAAATTCCAGGCTTTATCGCTCGAAATTATTTTCAAAACTCAAAAAACATATTGATAAAAATTCACTGAAATCTTTGAATAGAACTACCGTAAATACTGTAATAGTACCCCACCCCCATAATGACGGTGCGGAGCGTTGCGTAGTCTAGCTTTGAACGAGTTTTTCTCGACACTGGTTTAAGCTACAGTGCGCGCTTAGGTATCAAAAAATAGCTGAAATTCAGGGCTATTTTTTGATAACAAAGACGCATTTTTTTGAAAGTACGGGGGCTTTGAAAAAAATGAAATACTAAAAAACTTTTGCGACTACGCGACTGTACGAGGGGAGTGGGGTACTATTGGGGGGTGGGACAAATGCGACCTTTTTTTTGCGCACCTGGACATTTGCGCACCTTTTTTTTGCTGGAAAAGGCCTTAGGAAAGGCCGTAGAGCTTTGAAAATCTTTCGAAAATTTTTCCATATAAGGGAATCGTATGCGTAGATTCCGAATTTCGACAAATCGGACCTCGCTGACACGTCAAATTTGGGCTAAAAGTCAAAAACTGCGGAAAAGTGTTAAGTTGCGTAGTTTTTGCCTTTTAACCCAAATTTGACGTGTCAGCGAGGTCTGATTTGTCGAAATTCGGAATCTACGCATACGATTCCCTTCTATGGAAAAATTTTCGAAATATTTTCGAAGCTCTACGGCCTTTCCTAAGGCCTTTTCCAGCGAAAAAAAGGTGCGCAAATGTCCAGGTGCGCAAAAAAAAGGTCGCATTTGTCCCACCCCCGTACTATTGCAGTATTTACGGTATGTTGATTAAAAAATATCGAGCTAATAAAACTTTGGCTCAAAAGAACATCAAAGTTGATTTGAATCGATCAAAAAGTTGAATCGACCAATCGATCGAAAAGTTTCTCTATCATTTCATGTCAAATAAACAGTTTGCCCGTTGTTATTAGCTTAAGATTATAACTCTTCATTCTAGCCAAACAGAAATTAGATAGCTGCTCTGGTGGAGAAATTTACATAGAGTGCTTGACTCTAGATTGACCATGAACCATGACTGATCTGATATGAACAGTTCACAGTCAACAATTAAAATTTATTTGAAACTGCAAGAATGTATTATTTGTTAGAGCTGAAATATGCCTAACTAAATAAGAGAATTCAAATTTTTCTGGTGCTTTTCAGTGATCACGGTTTTCGAATTTCTGGAGCTGATTTTTGAGCTTGCCTACTATGGATTTGTTGTGGTGCCGAGGAGAATTCATAAAACATTACTAGAGAAAAAGCAAAGGTTGGAAAAGTATATATCAAAAAAATATTGAGTTACAGAAAGAAAAGACATGGATTGTCAATTCCTCAACTTCTCTACAAACATATGCCGAGTCATTCGGGTACCAAAATGTTTCCGAAAAAGAGCTCCAAAGAAGCAACAAAGTCGAAAAGTGAGGAAGCAGCTGTGCTTAGGTAATCATTTTTTGGGGTTTTTTCAAAAGTTCGACAAGTTTTAAGAATCTCCGTTGTAAAAAATTTAATTCCACATTTCAGTAATGACACAAGTATGGCTACTCTGCCGCCAGATGGAAAAGAAATCGACGAATGGCCACCTTGATTTTAATGGGTTTTGAGAAGACTTTTGAAGCTCTCTTGTACTTTTTGATTTGACAGTCTTTCCGATTTGACAGGCATTTTTCACAGAGAAACTTTTTTTTCATTTTTTTATCCACTTATCTTGTCAAATATTTAGATAACTAATTTTAATAAATTCATTAATTAACATTTTATTTAGTTTATCAATACACTTAAGACATTAGAAAAGAGAAAAGAGAGGAATGAGACAGCCGCCTTGACCCGAATATCTCTGAAGAAAGACCAAAAAGAGTTATATCAGCTCGGGTGAAGAAAAGAACCAATCATCCAGAAAAAGAAGAAATCAGCATAGAGGATTGGAATGGAAAAGAATTGGAGAATATAGAGAAAGGGTGCTGTACAATGAATGTATCGAGACACCATATCAAGAGAGTCAGTCATTATCAATCTTGAGAACAACAGCTTCGTTTGTGAATTCCGTTTGTTTCCATTGTTTCCATATGCTTGCCTTTGATCAATCTGGGATTAACTGGAGAAGTTTTATTGAAAAGAAATGTTATACATTTTCCTTTTCTTTTATATATTCTTATACTAAATTCTTTTAGCAAATTCTTGAAGAAAAACCCTTGAAAAGTCATTTGGGTCAATGTTCGAATAATGAGAAGTTTATGGGTGGAAAATGAGTGGATGAATCATTTGATTTTTATCTTTCAAACGAAAATCTATCGTTTGTCTGTTCGAGGTTTTAAAAAGCTGTATTTAATTTGTTTAATAGCCATTTTTTAAAATATTATTGAATTTCTTTGGAGATAGAATTGGGTTATTGATTTCTTTGCTTGAATTCAAATGACAAATAGTTTTGGCTAACAATATTTTCCTTACCTTGTTTCACTACTAGCTGTCGCTGATTCGAAAAAGTGATTCAACTCGAGAATGATTGCGGTCACTAAAGAGGAACGATCTCGAGAGCCTTGTTGGGAATGGAGAAATGAAGTAAATGGGGAAAGAGAAGGGGAGAGTCCTTTTCCCTTAGGCTGTCCTCAGGACTTGTGAGGGGAATGTCTTTGCCTTTTCTCTTCTTTTCTTTTCATTCTCTTTTCAGATCCATTGCTGTTTGTCTCTGTTTACCGGCTAGCTGTGTGACCGTAAGGGTGGTCGGATAGATTGGGGGGAGGGGTACGAAAAGAGAAACGAGAAGAAGAAGCACTAATACGCGAGACCCGGACGATCAACCTCAGCACCCATTCATTTCCTTTCTCACCATATTTGGACAACCAACCCCTTCAGTGATTACTTTTTTGCAAGTTTTCTTTAAAGTCCAATTTTTCATCCTCCATTATAATTTGTATCTTTGATTATTTATGATTAGCTTGTTATATAGGTTTCTTTTAGAAAACTTTTATATAGTTTTTTTTAAATAGCTTTTAACTAACAAACCAGCATGAAAAATAAGCGATAGCCAGACTTTTGGATTCTAAAAGAGATTGAGGCACAAATTTGCATGAACTCTCGAAGAAATGCCTCACAAACAGAAGCGGCTCTTTGAAACATAGGAGAAGAAAAGAGGAGATGGATTGAAATGGGATGAGAAAAAGGACCTTGATGAAGAGATGAAAAGAAAGACCACAGTCACATCCAGAGAGCCGGTCACTACAGGGAATCCGATCCGATCTCTCTTTCCTTTTCTATTCCCAACTTGGTCTCTTCAGATGTGAAGAAGAAGTGCACATGGCGTTAGTTGTTGTGTGCATGATGCTTCTTTATTCCCATTCTCAAAGCTTCAAGTGAATCCTCGGCAAGCGTCGTTCCCATGAACAGCCACGTCAAGTCGTTTACTTGTGTTTTGCTCTTTATCAGACTATTTTACGTAAACATTCGTACCCTACAAACATTTTATTTCATTTATGTATTGCACAGTAATAGTAAGCAATCTCAATACTCAAAAACTTCTGCTTAAATTGTTTTGCAATTTGTCAATTTTTACTTATTAAGCTTATATTATAGTTAGTAGCCAAGACGAACCCCCATGTCCGCCACCTGAAATACCCTCCTATTTTCTTTTCCTTTTGCAAGTTTTGTCTGTTTATATCCTCCGTTATAGTTCAAAATAGCTTTATTTTGTCTATCTAATAGGTGTCGGACGAGTGCTGTCCTTTGACTGAAGGCTTCACGGGGTTCCGTGGCAATGGCCCAGATGTGGCTCTCAGCCATTATACTTTTATACGCAAATCACGTTTTGGTAAGTTTTTAATTGCATAACTGCATTTTTTCACGTTTATGCTGATTGTTTTCATGCATTATTGCAGAGTGAAACGACATCACCGTCAAATTTTCCATTCCCCCCATCGTTTTCATCAAACGATACCGGAAGTCGCCTTTCGGATGTTCAATTATCTTGTGCTGAAGGATGGGAAAGAAGCGGAGAAAAATGCTTCCGCCTTTTCCCATCAACTCGTTCATGGTCTCAAGCTTTAGCAACTTGCGATCGGTAAGTGAAAAACCAAAAGTACACAAACAAGTCATATCAATCACTATTCGAACTGATCAATGAATTTGTTCAAAAGTTATCATTGATTTTAAGGTACGGCGCCCAATTAGCACGAATCGAGTCTCCAAATGAGAACGAATTCTTGGGAAAAATGACCCGGAAACCCGGTCGAACACAAACAACCGGACAACCATTTTGGATTGGTAATTGAGAGCTTTAATAATTTATTCAAAATCTTTGTTAGGATTGAGTGCCGAGGAACAAGCAGGTGATATTGTTTTCCGTTGGTCAGACGGAACTCCTGTCTCTCGTTATACCGGCTTTTGGGAACACGATCAGCCAGATCATGGATCGGGAAGCTGTACTTTAGCTGGTAAGTCAAAAAAGTAAGACAAAATCCTCTAATCAATGCTTAAGGTGTGCAAAAAGCTTCATTACAATGGAGATTGGATCAATGCAACTTGCTGTTGCCTTTCATTTGTGAGAGACCAGCGTGCGTCAAAGGTAAAATCATTTGTTTTTACTTTTACTAAAAGGCACAAACCTGATTTATTTTAAAAACCAAACGCTGTTGAAATAAATAAATGAATTCTTGGCTTAAACCTATAATTAGATTAGCATTGATATATTTATTATAACATTTAATAAATAAGTGAATACTTTCAGGCGCATTTTTCTGTCTTAATGGCGGATGTGTTCCTGAAGGAAAACATTGCAATGGAGTTGATGATTGTCGAGATTTGAGTGATGAGCTCAATTGTCCCGGTATTATTTCAAATACACAAAAAGTGTAGCATTCTTTAGCCTCTCATTCTGAGCTTGCTTGTCTTCAGTATGAAAAAGGTGAAAGTGGGAAATTTGCTACTCCAAATTACCCAGCTAGTTACAAGGTAAGTGAAAAAAAAGAACTTTAAACCATTATTTCTATCAGGGAAACACAGCTTGCCGATGGGTTATTGAAAGTCCGATCAACACAAGAATTCATGTAATTTTAAAAAACTAATAAGAAATAAACAAAACGCATGTTTAGCTCGAATTTGAGTATTTCGAGACAGAAGCGAATGAGGATATCGTGACAATTCTTGATGGTGGACCCTCAGAAAATGCATCCACCGTTTTGGCATCAATTTCCGGTAAAAAACAATTTTGACTTAGTAGTAAGTCTTCTTATTTCAGGAAATAAATCTCCAGAAGAGCTCTCTTTCACATCTGCTTCAAATATTATTATTGTAAGATTTCGATCAGATGCCCTGGTTCAAGCGAGAGGTTTTCAAGCAAATTGGAAAGCAGGTACACTCGGAAGAACAGACTCATAGATTTTTTTATCTAGTTATCTACTTTATCTCATTCCATCATAACCTTTTTTCTAACTTCAGAAAAGTTATGATTACTTTAACCGTTTTCTTCAACCAAGTAAAGTGAAGAAGTGACAACTTTAACCAGTTTTACTTCTGAGAATTAAACTGATAAATTCGCAAGCCTGGTAAGACCAATTTGAGAGTCAAATAATGTATTGTAGAATGGAGAAGACACGTAAATGTTTGTACGAGTCCGGGGTAGGGTAGGGGTACTTGTTCTTTCATCAGCTTGTCCCTTCTCTGTGATCACCCCAAGCCTTCTTTTCTCCTTGTCTTTCACATATAGAGTGTGCAAATCAAGAGAGAATTCGGGGCGGCAAACCTTTGAGAGGAAATCCCCACGCGTTCACTCTCCATTCTTCTCTCACTTTTTTCAACCTTCTAGCTTATTGTTAAAGAATTGTGGAGAGATTTAACACTTGCAAAATTTCAAAAAGACTACACTTTTTTTGAAAGGAAACTGAAACTTAAGATAAAGAGAACGATTAGCTTAATATTATAGCAAAATACTTTTTAGTGCCATTCCAATGTGGCGGTGAATTGACGGCTCAACCATATGGGCAAAGTTTCTCGAGTCCCGATTATCCAAATGGATATCCAAATGATGTGGAATGTGTTTGGAAAATTGAGGCGTTGTTTGGCAATCTAATCACAATTGCGGTACTGAATCATAAGAAAAACAGAAATGTTTTATCTATTGACTTCATGGCTTCATTTAGTTGGAAGATCTTTCTATTGGGAAAAATGACTATCTTCTTATTTATGATGGACCATCACCGGCTGCACCAATTCTCGCTCGATTAAGTGGAGAGAAAAATGATGTTTGCTTACAGAAATTATGATAAAATGAGATGTTTCCTTTAGACAAATGATCATATAACATCAACTTCTCATTCAATTTATATTTATTTCTTTTCGGATGGACTAAAAGAAAAGGGAAGAGGATTCACACTTGGATATAAAAGAGGTAAAGCTGTAAAACAAGTGGAAATGTTGTAAATTCATTGCTTGCAACAATTATCTTTTATAAAAAAGCATCCACAAAAACTTTGCAAGCATTATAAAGTTTTTTGTAAATTCAGGTTGTGACGTAACAGTTCGTCAATCATCTGGATATCTTATTTCACCGGGAAATACGAGGGTTCTTTTTTTGAAGCATTCATAAATAAATGAAGTTCCAGATTCCTTATCCGGGACTTCTTTCTTGTACTTACACAATCGAGGTTCCAAATGCGAGAGGAGATCATTCACTTTCACTTATTACTAATCGTTTCGATCTTGCAGTTGATGATTTCTTGAAGGTAGAAAATTCAAATTATTTTTCTTGGGCGCAGCTAAAATCTAAACTTTATTGAAGTCAATATTAACAATAGAAATGAATACTTATTGTTAAAACTCCGAAATTCATTTAAATACTTATTTGATAAACTGTAAGCAATTCCAAATTTAAGTGTGAAAGTTCCAAATATAAGTGTAAAATTGAGAAACAGATGAGTCTAAAGCATTATTTTCTTGTTTCTTTTCTGTTTCAGCATTATTTTCTTTTCTTATTTATCGTGCCCTAGGTGTTTGAAGGGTCGACAACTGGAAAACCTCTGCATGAAGGCGATGGATTTTCAGCCCAACAACGACCACCAAAACAGCTTTTTGCGAGACAAGTAGGTGCTACGGATTTATAAAAATGCAAAAAGTTACATTTACATTTAGATACAGTTACAGTTAGATTTATACAAATACAAAATAAAAATACAAAAAGTTGATTTATAAGAGATACTTCAGGGACGAGTACAAATGATTTTTGAGACAAACGCAATACGAAGTGGCACTGGTTTCAATTTCACTTTTTCAACTAGTACGTAGAATTGAATTGAACTAAATTGAACTAACTATTCTATAGATTGTTTACCATTGAGAGTTCCATCATTGGTTACACTATCATCGAAATCGACAACATATGGAACGACTGTAAGTTTGGAAAGAAATCGCTATTTTTGCTAGATAAGCTCATCAATTTGCATCACCAAAGTTTTAGTTAACAATCGCTTGTCCAAGAGGTTATGAATTTTTGAATGGGAAAGGGAAACAATACACAATTTTGTGCGAACTTGGTGGAAAATGGTCAGACTCGAAGATTCCCGATTGTCAACGTAAGAAAATAGCCTTCTTGCCTACAACAATACCACATTTCAGCCTTATACTGTTCTCCTGTTCCCCAAATTGCCAATGGATTTGCCGTCTCAGCCACAAATGTCTCATTTATGGGAAGAGCTCGATATTCTTGTTATGAGGGATTCAAATTCCCTTCTGCTCGTGAATCCGAAGGTGAAAACTTATAGATTGTGTTAATAGTTATGAATGATCAAATATATTTAGAAATCTTGTGTTCCGAAGATGGTCATTGGACACCTCCCCCACAATGCAAAGCTGCCAGTTGCCCAGCTTTGAGTCCATTCCAGAATGGAGATCGTTCACTTGAATTTGGAGATGGAACTGGCTATGGAACGGTCTTTAAATTTGAATGTACTCCCGGATATAGGTAATCATTTTACATCATTTCGAACTATTATAACTCGAAAATTGTAGAAGAATCGGTGCTTCGACTCTTTTATGTCAAACCGACGGAACGTGGAGTTTTGTGCAGCCAATTTGCAAACGTAAAATAAAAACGGAATTAATAAGTTACACAAGAACATTAAAGGTTTAACTTGTTCAAATATCCCTAAAATTGGAAACGGACGTATTGTGGTCGAAGAAAAATTCCATTTTGGTGATACTGCTCGTGTCGAGTGCGATTTCGGATATAAAAGTGATGGAGCTGATGAGGTAAGTTGTTTGGGGGGTGGGACAAATGCGACCTTTTTTTGCGCACCTGGACATTTGCGCCCCTTTTTTTTGCTGGAAAAGGCCTTAGGAAAGGTCGTAGAGCTTCGAAAATATTTCCATATAACGGAATCGTATGCGTTGATTCCGAATTTCGACAAATCAGACCTCGCTGACACGTCCAATTTGGGCTAAAAGTCAAAAACTGCGGAAAAGCGTTAAGTTGCGTAGTTTTTGACTTTTAGCCCAAATTTGACGTGTCAGCGATGTCTGATTTGTCGAAATTCGGAATCTACGCATACGATTCCCTTCTATGAAAACATTTTTGAAGCTCTACGACCTTTTCTAAGGCCTTTTCCAGCAAAAAAAGGTCGCATTTGTCCCACTCCCGTTGTTTGTTTCTTTTAGAATTCCCCCAATTAACTAAAGTTTACTTAAGTAATTCAAAATCATTTATTCAAAAATTTTAGGTGAAATGTTTGGCGAACCAGACCCTCTCGTCGATTCCCAAATGTATTGATATTGACGAGTGTGCCGAGCAAAAATCTCTTTGTTCAGGTGAATTTATTTTACTTTTTAAAACTATCAGTTTATTTTGGATATTAACTAGGATTGTTCAGCTAAGGATTAGAAATTATAACTTTTCTTTTAAGAATCATCCACCATTTGCAAGAATCTACCTGGTGGATACACATGTCAATGTTTGTCAGGATTTTCCGGGCCGAAAAGTAATGAATGTTTTAAAGCTCACTGATAATAATCAAAATCTCAGTTTGCTCTAATCCATCACCGCTATATTTGGCTAAAGTTGGGGCTTCATCCGAAAATTTCCTATATCCAACAGCTACTCTTTCAAGAGGAGGATGGTGTGCAGAAGAAGGCGATTTGAAGAAGGTTTGATCAGCTAAGTACATTCATAGTAAGAGAACATAAAGTTTAGACGGTCACAATTGACTTGGGGACCCCGAAAACGGTAGAAAGATTGCAAATCGAGAAAACCTCTGAGGGATATCCCACTCGAATCTCCTTGCGATTTGCCGAAAATGCCTCAAGACCTTTAGAGCAGTACACAGTTGGAAAAGATTCGGTGAGTGAGGCACAAGCTACATAGATTTTTGCTGAAAGACGATGGTTTCTAAAAGTCTGGAATAACTCAATGAATTAGATATTTCCCCTTCGAGGAGTGTCCATGTCTGGTGGAGAACTCTTTACGTTGCCACACCCAATCGAGGCACAAATCGTTGAAATAAAACTTGTGGAAACAAAAGGATCACCTTGTGCTCAAGTAAGGCTTTTACAAGAGAAGGCTTACGCTTTTCAAGAGCTACCAGCTCTCACTATCAGTAAAAAGCCAAATCCTTTAGATCACGGTATTGGGTTGCCAGAAAAGCTCATGCTTAGACATCAATGAATGTGAGGGAAATAATGGATACTGTGATCACATTTGTTTCAACAAAATGGTAAGCAATAAGCGATTTCATCTGTCTGTTCTGTTCTTTGTCTGTTCTTTCTCTTTTCAACACTTGTCTTGTTTAGGGTTCTTATGAATGTGGTTGTCGAGAGGGTTTTGATCTTTTTGTTGAAGATGGACAAAGTGGACGAATTGTGAAAGAAGGAGAGACTGGCAAGCATAATCTCGATGTATACAGGTAGCAACAGCTTCAAAAAGTCGACAATCGACAAATTAAAATAGGAACTTAATAAAGTTATCATAATAATTAATAAAAGTAATGTTTAGATTCAATAAAACGTGTGTACCAAGAGTTTGCCCTACTGTCACTTCACCGATTAATGGGAAACTTCTCGCAACTCACAAAGAATTTGTTTATCCGATGACTGTCAAATTCCAATGCAATTTTGGATATCAGGTAGAAAACTTATGCGTATGTTGAATCCTAATATGCATTTTATAGATGATGGGAGCTGAATTCATCCAATGTCTTGCTGATGGTACATGGAACGGGACAACCCCATTTTGTCTACGTTTGTTTCATTTTGAATCAATAATTCGTCAATCATTAAAGCTAAACTGTTTAATTGGCCACTCTAAACAGTATCGTGCTTTTTATATCATAAAAGCATTTAGCTGCCACGTGTCAAGGTGTGCACAATGTATCGACGATCGGCCTTTATGTATCACCGGATAATGCAACAATTGCTTTTGGTCAAAATGTTTCCATTACCTGCACACATCAAAATAGACCAGGTTTTGATTAATTTGTATTTTGATTTTTGGTTTTTATTAGCTCGCCATTTTCATTAGCTTTTCACTGTTTAACCGATTCAATTTTCAAAGCATACAAATTTCATTTGTTTAGCCCCTTCAATGTTCTTTCGAGAATGTGTCTATGATCCACAAAACGATGGCAGAGACTATTGGTTGAGTGGAGCACCGGTTGACTGTCCGATGGTTGGTTGCTCGCTTAGAAAATTTAAAATTACAGGAAAGGGTTGCAAAGAGGAAAATGAATTTATGAGTTGAAGATAACTTCATTTTTTAGATTGATTGCGGTCGTCCGCCACAATTGGCTGGAGCTGTTTATGGCGGAGATAATGGGGTCTACGAGGTAAGCCTCAACAAGACAACTAAATCTTTTTAATCAGCGATGCTTTTGTTACTATTGATTAATTACCGATTAATAGATCAAAACTGTTTTTTTTTTTACTGAATTGTATGAACTTTATCTAGGTGGGAGCTTCGTTGCGCTTTTCTTGTCGGCCTCCATATGCTTTGGTGGGTCGTTCTTCTTACGATGACACTCTCGTTCGGTGTCATCTTGATGGCTCGTGGGATATCGGAAATCTTCGATGTGAAGGTAATCGTAAGGAAAGGGTTTTAAAAAACTTTTTTTAGGACCTGTTTGTGTTGATCCGGGCTATCCGCCAGATGGCTCTGTCTCCTTGACTTCGGTTGAAGAAGGAGCGGTAGCAAAATTCTCGTGCAACCGACCTGGGTTCAAACCTTTCCCTTCTGACGCTATCAACTGCACTCTTGTAAGGGAATCAATCAAAGATCAATCAATCAAACATTATAGGGAACGGCATGCAGTCTTTCGGAAGATCTTGGAATCAGCGATGGATATGTTCCAGATGGTGCTTTTAGTGACAATGCTGATACTGTCAACTACGGCTATGAGCCATATAAGGTTGCTTGAAATTGCAATTAATGTCTTGGCTTAACCATTCTTTTAGGCAAGAATGAGCTCGACTGGATGGTGTGGTCAAAATGACACATTCATTTTCCTCTCCGTTGATCTGCAAAGAGTCTACACATTGACCACTTTGAGGCTATCAGGAGTAGCGAATGGAGGTCCTTTAAGAGGACATGTGACAAAGATGCAATTGTTCCACAAAAGTCAATACACTCACAATTATGACACATATCCTGTGGAATTCGAAACGCCGTCTGGAAATCACAACGCAATGCATCATTTTGAGTTGCATCCATCGCTCCAGGTTTTATTCTTGTGTTGTAAAAGAAACGAAAGGGTTTTAGGCTCGCTACTTATTGTTGGCAGTGACCGAATATGAAGGTAGTCCATGTATGAAGTTTGACGTTCAAGGATGTCTGGCTCCAACTTCTATTCAAGATATCCCCATTCACTTACAAGTGATTTTCATTTTCCAATAGCGAAATTAAATACAAAGCAGGTCGGCTGGAACGCTTCTGTACCGACGTGTATCGATAGTGAACCACCGGAGTTCAGGTAATTTTTGACACGATCGCAATATAAAAGCTACATTTAGTAATTGTCCGGTGAATCCAATCTATACAACTACTGACGAGAACGGCCAAATCAAGCCTATTGAGTACGAGATTCCAAAAGCCTTGGACAATTCGGGTCGAGTCGCATGGGTGAGAGTTGAGCCACAAGAATTTGAGCCTCCGAGAGTGATCACTGCTGATCTTGATGTACTCTATACGGCTTTCGACGAAGCGGGAAACACAGCTGAATGTTTAGTGCAGATTCGAATTCCAGGTAAGTGTTGAGAAAAGTAAACTCAGATGAAGATGAAGACGAAGATCAGGCCATAACTTTGCAGACACTTTACCGCCTGTGATGAAATGCCCTGACTCGTACGCACTGTGGGCATCGGAAGGAATGAATTCAACAGAAATTATCTTTAATGAAATGAGCGTCCCGATGGTCATTCAAGATATTTCCAATATCACCGCCGTCACTTTTGTCCCCGAAAAAGCGACAATCAAACTTGGGGAATATGTAACAGTTGAAGTGAGAATGAAAGAATAAATAACATCTGCAAAAATTTTAGGTAACAGCCATTGATGCGCTCGAGAACAGCAATAAGTGCAGCTTCCAAGTCGCCTATATGCGTATCTTATCAATTTTAAATTAAAAAAAAATTAAATTTAAGCGGAAATCTGTTCCCCTTGGTCATTGGCTAGTGCCTCGAATACATTGAAGATTTGCCGGGAAAGAAATGGAGCCACAACTTGCACAATTTCTTGTAAAAAGGGATATCGCTTTGTGGATGAGGAAAAGGTTTGTGAAGAAAGGAAGTAAAATGAACTTGGATTTAGACGGAAAAGGAGTTTATTTGCTCTGATGGGACATGGTCTCCATCAGGGATTGCCCCATCTTGTGTTCAAGATCCAGATGAACCGGCTCGATATGAGCTGGGTGTTGCATTTGATTATCCCATTGCTACACCAGTCAGCACCGATTGTATAAAGGTTGGATTTGAATTTGGCTTCATTTTTATACAATCAAATAATCGGCTTGGTCTAAAGACTGAAGTTCCACAATTCATAACAAATTCCTGGAACTCTCACCAGTTGTTTGTGATCCAATTAGTATTAGTATCCAATTAAATTCAACTGAATCAGCAAACAAGTCAGACTTTAGTTCTTAAACTAACTATAAGTAACAATTTGAAAGTGGCTAGCTTTCCAGGGTTACACAGCACTTGTTGCAACATATTTTGATTCTCTCGACACAGTGCTCTCATCTCGGTGCTCCTCATCCGTTCAAGTGAGTTCTAAGGGAAAATTTCGAGTTTACTTATCTTTTTTAGATTTATGTTCGTTTTCTTGATGTTCGCTTTGATCAACAACCTGGAAATCTACGAGGAAACTATACGATACAGGTTATCCTATACACCCTAAACTTAAACTCCTTTACAGATTCTCCCATCCGTGCTGCAAGATGTTTTCTATGAACTTTGTGGCTTGACCCTTCGGACAATCTTTGATCTCACAATTCCAGGTAATTACAAGATACTTAGGATTTTACAAGAGACTTCACAGGAGCTACTACATCGATTAAACAATTGCTTTCATTGGATGCTGGGGCTACACAATCAGGACAATGTCCTACACTTATTGCCGCTAACTCTATGATTTCTCAAGTGAGTTGATGATAAAAGTAATTTTGTTACTTATCAGAGAAAGCCTATCAGAGCCTTTCTCATTCAGAGAAAGTCAAAAACACTTAAAAAATCATTTTCTAGGGATTTGGATGTGCTGATGGAGAAGTTTTGCGACCTTCACAAGAGAAAAATCTTCCCGAATGCTGTCAGTTCTAAGCAGTTACATTACCAAAATCCGTCTTATGAGCTTCGTTAGATTCTAGTATAAACAAAGTTTAGTCCCATGCGCTGTTGGAACAGTGAATGTAAACAACACATGTCTCAAATGCCCCCGTGGATCTTTCCAGGTTGTTATAAAGTGAACTTTGAATTACAAAGCGTCATAGGATGAAAAGGGACAAGTTGCTTGTAAAGCTTGTCCAGATGGCCACTACACTCACTATTCAGGGGCCTACTCCATCGAGCAATGCTTAGGTATACTTTTCAAACAGTCTTTGTTTATAGAGTCTTTAAAACAACCAACTTTTAGCCATTTGTGGCAATGGTATGTACTCACCAACGGGATTGATTCCATGCCAACTTTGTCCTCGACACACCTATGCTGGACCACCACCAGTCGACGGATACAAGGTATCATAACGTGTTCAACACCTTTTTAAATCTAAAAACTTGAGATTTACAATTTTAAAATAAAGCCGATTTTATTTTAAAATAATGTGCAAGTACATTTCAGGAATGCACCTCATGTGAGCCGGGCTCTTACACGGGTCAGTCATTTTTTGTTAACTTTAATAACTTTTCTTAGCTTTTCTCTTGAAATTTTTACATAACCATATTGCCAATTCTTAGATATTCTTTACTAACTTATTTCATAGAAAAAATGTCAGATTAGAGGCTGGGTTTAAAATTTGATAAGATCTGAAACCCTCATTTTTTATGGAAAAACGAGTTCTTTACCTTGCGACCTCAAAATATCAAAAACCGTTTACTTTACAGTTTTGATATGTATTAGTGTTTTGTAGAGCACATCTAGACCTTCATTTTCGTATATAAAACTTGCAGGCAAAACTCAAAATTAAGCGAGTTAAGAACCTTCAAAAATAGCCAACATGAAAATGCGGCCTTTGATATTGAAATAGGTCATTTTTCTTTGTATTCACAAAAGATTTTTTGAAAAATTTTTAATACTTTTGTCTATGACTGTAAAATTCGGTGAAATGACCGCTAAGTACGAAATGGAGTGAGAAATACCAAACGTGGCTTAATCTTCAGCTCGTCTCGGCTCTACAAGTCCATCTCAATGCAAAAGGGCCTGTCAATCAGGCACTTTCTCTTTAACTGGATTGGAGCCATGCTCGAAATGCCCTCAAAACTACTATCAATCAAATGCTGGCCAACAAAAGTTTGTATCGAACAAGTGAAAGAAATAATTAACGAATTTAGATGCATTGAGTGTGGTAATTCGACGGCTACGTTCACAGATGGGGCTGGAGCAGAAGATCTTTGTTTGCCGATTGATTGTGCGGCTATCGCTTGTGAAAATCAAGTATAAAACTCTTTTTATATCAAGTAATCGAGTAAAAATGACTTTGAATTCAGGGTCTTTGTGCAATTGTCAACCATCGAGCGGTTTGTAAGTGTCGACCTGGGTACTCAGGATCTCGTTGTGAGAATGCAAATGAGGCAAGTGCAAGTTACATTCCTGCATTCCTGTATTTTATTATCTATTGCAGATATCATCGTTTCCTTACAATAACTCAATGAATATTTATCAAGAAAATTTGTTAGATCTGTGCTTCAAACCCATGCTTCAACAATGGGATCTGTGAGCCAGCTGCCGGAGGATACAGATGCATTTGCCCAAGAGGTATAATATTCAATCAATGAAATAAAGAAAAGTTTTTAGGTTATTCTGGTGCTCGTTGTCAAAAAGAGAAAGACGATTGTGATGGAGAGAGCTGTCCAAATGGGGGAATTTGTCACAATATGCCAGGAATCGGAAATAAGCAATGTCTTTGCAGGTTTATCATTGATTTATTTTCACTTCACCTAAAAATTCTGGACTTTCAGAACCGGCTTTGCTGGTCCAGAATGTGAAGAAGTGACAGATATCTGCACGGCGGCTAATCCTTGTAGAAATGGAGCAGATTGCACGCCATTACAATTGGGTATGATGTATTTGTGATAAAAATTAAACAAAAAAAAACATTTAGGTCGTTTCAAATGTAAATGTTTGCCTGGTTGGGGTGGGGCGACATGCGAGAGAAATCTTGGTTTGTTTTATCTCAGATTCAATTCAGTTATGAGTAAAAATGACAGAAACAAGCTTTTTTGTGTGTTTGTTAGCGTAGATTTGGATATACACCTCCTTTTGTTGGATCTTGTTTATGATGAGGTGGATAGTCGGGATTGTAAGCTGGAGCTGAAGCCTCTTGTGGGAGCTGAATTTTTCGTTAAATTTGAAATTTTTTCAAGGATACCGGAGTGAATCCATTGAGATGCTCATGGAATTTCTTTGTTAGCAAGAAAGCGAATCCGTTGTAGATCGCATAAACGAATGAAAGGACTAAATGAGTGCTTTATATGTAGCTTTGAGGATGATTTGGGGTCAAGGCTATTCTCAAAAATTTTTATACTTTATGTAAACGATTTTTACCTCCAAATGCAGCTGCATACATTTTAAGCTCGACTTCCATTTTCCCCTTTTCGTGGGGATCCATCTCACCGGGGTAAAAGAACTAAAGACTTTTTTCAAACATTCGCTAATCTTACTTAGCGCAATCTTACTTAGTGTGTGTGTGTGCAAAGTACCTCATAACTCGAGTCCCAGTGGGAACTTTGGTATGATTTTCTGAGACAATATGTAATCAATATCAAGGATTTAGTCTATTAAATCAGAATTTTAAAATCGCAACCCGTTTTTGAACAAAGTTCGGAAAAACCGATTTTGGTGGTGAGATCAAAGGGAATGGAGTATACGGGGTAATGTTAAAGTTTAAATTTAATGTAACTCTTCTAATACAACTATTCTAGAGTACAATTGTGCACAAATCTCAAGTTTATAATTTAATGTCAATGGATTGCAGTCAGGGGTATACATTTGGTCGACCGGACCATCCAGCAGTTAACCCCCAGTTCTGCCGGGGGTTAACTGCTGATATGTCTAATCCAAAAAAAGATCAAGATATTATACAACTATTGCTTTTGATAAATGAAACTTCATACGTCATGTAACTTGAAAACAGCTTCGTTCATCTTATGTTCTCCACCCATGAAATAGATCAGCATAACGATGAAAGCGATTGTCGAGCAAATGAAAAGACCTATATATTTGAAAAGTTTTTTTCCATCTTTTGCTATTACCTGCGCAAAGAATCAATCGTGGTATGAGATAATGAGCAAGACTTCTTTTGTGAGCGAGCACCGTGAAGATTGAGGCCAATACCTTGAATTGTAAAAGGTCTTTACTAGTTTTTCGTTTAAAATCTTGGCTTGGTCAGGTCACGAAACATTTTTATATCATTTACCTGGCAGACGAGGAAAAACGTGAAGAAAAAGAAAGCAAAAACTGTTGTCCAGTGCCTAAAGTTTATGTATTCTTTTCTCCTTCAAACTTGAATCATTTTTTCTCCTAAAAGTCTTGTTCAAAACTTAAGTACTTAATAAAAAGCTCTAATTTTCAGGATCTTCCAAATTCTTCTTTTATATTTTTGCGTGATTGAAGAGCCAATGTGGAAGCTATAAATAATTCGTTTTGAATGTATCCAAGCGATTTCAAAAAGGAAAGCTAGTCAAAGAAGGGATTGGGTGGATAGAAAGGGCGCCAATCCGATTTGTCCCCATAGAAGCATTCTCTCCTCCTTGGTAACGCACAATTGAGATTCCTTTCCGGTCGGGGTTGGGTAATCACCACCTAACCGGGTCATGTAAAAAGCAAAAAGGTCAAAAGAAAATGTAGTTGTTTTAGTGAATATTATCCATGAAGCTTATACAATACATCGATCTGAAATTTGTCTCAGACTCACCTACCTTTTATGATATTTTCTCTCATAGTTAGGAGTTTTAAAGCTAAAATCTTTCAGTTCAGTTGCTTATTATTCAAAGTTAAAAACTCATAGTAAAGTTGAGGAGGTGCCTCTTATTTCTATAACTCTTTGTTTTCTGATGGATGGATCGGGAAAAAGGATGTGTTTTTCGTCTCCTTTGGGATGTCCCTTTGACTCTTTTTTTTTCTTTTTCTCGTGCACATGTCCTTTGCGAAATTTGCCTCAAACGAGTGTTGTCGTCTGAAAACTTCAAAAAGAAAAAAATCCAGACATGTATGGAAAAACTGGGGTAGGCTACTTTGCGCCAAATTTTTTGCGCAACAGGGTCATTTGCGCAACTCGCCATAACTTTCTTCTAACTGGTCCAATCTTTATGATTTTGGTTTCATTTTGTAGATCTCAATAAGTGCAACAAAATGAAACCAAAATCATAAAGATTGGCCGACTTAGAAGAAAGTTATGGTGAGTTGCGCAAACGACCCTGTTGCGCAAATGACCCTGTTGCGCAAAAAATTTGGCGCAAAGTAGCCTACCCCGAAAAACTATTATAGTTGCTCAAAATCGAAAATAGGCAACAACTATTTTAGGCAATAATTTTTGTTACAATATTAGTTAATTTAAAAAATGGTATCTAACTCATTTTTATAGATTTGTAGTCTTCTCTTTTCAAATTCGGGAAAATTTTGTTTGGAGGATTTAATCCATCTGTTGTTGTCAGGGGTAGCTGCCACAAATGGGCACTTGACTAGGGAAATAAAAGGAACACGAAGAGGGATTTGGAGGGGAACAGAATGGGAGAAGGATAGAAGAGAGCAATTAAGAGACAAATAGTCTAGAGAAGGAGGGGATATCGAAGGAGTGAGTGAAATAGACATAGCGTGCCATTTGACCCTTTGTGTGTTCCTAGAAAGCACGAGCTTTACATCAAGACACTTTCAAAGTGCTAATGAACAACAAATCCAAAGAAATTCTGGCAAAATAATTAAAAATCAAATTTTATGACGTATCTTTTTATCAAAAATAATAACTCTTTTTAGACTCACGGACTAGAAATTGTTTCCATCAGCTCTTGGAAAACATTGTAAGCAAAAAAGGCGACAATCACTGTGTCGAAAAGGGAAAGCACCTCAAATATTTGACATAAAAGATCTATAAAAATAAACTAACCGTAACACATTTATGAAGTGGCCAACAACAGCATAGAATCATCTCTAAAAGTTTAGTGAAGGTAAATGGAAAATGGAGGATCGATGAGAAAAGGGGATGGAAGAAGGAATGACCAAGAGGAGAAAGGGCCATAGAAGGGAGAGATCTCAAAAGGGGAAAGCCCGTCAAAAAGCCACGCCCCTGTAATCACTCAACTTCAAATATAAATTACAGCTTGCAATGGTTGAAGGAGTTTTGAATAATACATACAAAAAAGTGAAACGTTTCTATTGAAGAAGAGAGGTTAAATAGAATGAAGAGTTTTTAGTAAAACGTTTTTTTTATACATTCATTAGTGAATTTTAGATGATTGTGCTGAACGGCCTTGCGCATTGAATGCAACTTGTGTGGATTTGGTGAATGACTTCCAATGTCGGTGCCCAAAAGGATTTACTGGAAAGAGATGCAATGTGAAAGGTTTGATAAATCTTTAAAAGATTAACAACAGATAGGTAAGTAACAGCAATGATTCAATGATTTTAGTTGATTTGTGTGCATCGGATTCATGTGTGAATGGGCTTTGTGTAGACACACTCTTTGCAAGACAATGCATTTGCGAACCTGGTATTCATTTCAATTTAATTAGCTATCTGATATTGATAAACACATACAAAACATATGTAGGCACATAAGAATGTAAGCAGATGCACCTGTGAATCTACTTTTTAGGATGGACGGGCGATGTGTGCGATGTTAACATTGACGACTGTGCCACAGAGCCATGCCAGAATGGAGCCACTTGTCATGATATGGTTTGCTCAACTAATACTTAATAAACCAGATACATTATTTAGGTGAATGGTTTCTCTTGTTCTTGTCTCAACGGATACCATGGTTCTCGCTGTCAACTCGTTGATGATCATTGCGCTCTTCAACCATGCAGAAACAATGGTAAGTCGTTAAGAATAGGCAGAAATAAGAAATAAAATAAATTTCAGCAAGTTGCACAAATGGTGGTCCAACTTATACATGTGCTTGTCCACTCGGATTCGAAGGAGTGCATTGTGAGAGAAATATCGATGAATGTGCTACAATCGGAAAGGTAAGAACTGAATCAAAAATGAGTATTAAAGACATATAAAATTCTGCGGATATATACAATACAAAGTAAAGCATATGAACTTTTGCTACTTTGCATTTTAGTGCCATCCAAAAGGGACAGAGGCTTGTGTTGATGGAATTAACTCATTTACTTGTCAATGTCGACCTGGATATACTGGACAATATTGCGAAACACACATCGATCAGGTAACTCACTAATTTTCTTAATAACTGGATTCATTATACCTATTACTTCAGTGTGCTTCATCGCCATGTCAAAACAATGGAACCTGCACGGATTTCGGTGCCATTTTCAAATGTGTTTGTGCTCGGGGATGGACTGGGGATCGGTCCGTTAATTTCAACTATTCCAAAGAAGAGAAAACATTTTAAAATTGACAATTTTTATTTCTACAAGTATTTTCAGGTGTGAAATCGAGTCAGGTGCCTGTGATCTGAAGCCGTGCAAGAATGAGGGTCGTTGTGTAAATATCGTGAGCGACTATTTTTGTGTTTGTCCAGAAGGTTAGTCTTTCAAAACAAATCCGCACCTCATTTCTTTACAAAACTTTGTAAAGCTAGCTTTCAATCCAGGGGTATCGGGAAAAGACTGCGAAGTGGCCCCCAATCGATGTCTCGGAGAGCCGTGTCACAATGGCGGTGTTTGCGGGGACTTCGGATCGCGTGTCGAATGTTCTTGTCCAAAACAATTTACTGGTATTTACAAAAATGTCGCAGTTATTATTCAAAGCATCTAGGTGCTGGATGTCAGTTTTTGGCAGAGCCGTGTGCGCTCGGTACTTGCTTAAACAATGGAACTTGCACTCTCAAAGGCAATGGAGGATTCAAATGTGAATGTCCAGCAGGTAAGCCCAAAGTTCAAACAATAATTTTCTTCAAGGAATCTTATTTACAAATCTTTTATGAACTAATAGTTTAGGCTTCACTGGAATTCGTTGTGAAACGAATATCGATGAGTGTGCTTCACAACCATGTTCTTTATCAGCGACATGTATCGATCAAATTGATGGATTCCACTGTAAATGCCCATTCAATGTCACTGGACCTAATTGTGATAAGGTAACGTGATTGAGCTATGAGTTAGACAAAGCTTTCCAGGCTGTTGATGTTGATTATGATTTGCATTTCTTCGACCCGATTCGAGGAGCATCAGCTAGTCAAGCAATTCCACTCCCCACCTTGCTCAAAGTACTGTAAAATCAAAAATTGAAGTCAATAAGAACTTTAGGCTTTTACTATTTCCCTGTGGGTACAGTTCTCTTCAGCTGAAAGTCGAGGAACCGTGATGACACTTTATAACTCTAGGTTATTTGATTTGAAAAATATAAAGTACTTTAAATTCAGTGCTCCATTCCAATCAATGGATTTATCTGAGTTGCTTTCGGTGACATCATTTGGTGTAAAAGTGAATTTGTTCCCCGAAGAAGCATCACTTCAAATGTCTTGGCCTGCTTTACAACAAATAAACGATCGACGTTGGCACCATTTGGTACGTAGAGCTCGATATATCTAGAAATTTAAAAGCTAACAATACAAAATTATGTAAATAGAAGATCTTTTATTTCCAGGTGTTCACTTGGAATTCGGATAAAGGTGCCTATTCACTTCTATGGAATGCAGTCTCTGTTTACTCTGATAAAGGATATGGTATTGGAAAGACTCTCAAGGCCAAGTACGTAGCAAAAATGCATATATAGTACATAAAGATTATTTAGCTTATTTGTGACTCTGGGTGAGCCAAGAGTCCCAACCTCTTTAATGGAGGGATTTTCGGGAGCAATCACTCGAGTAAATGTCTGGGGTAGAGCACTTGATAGAGAGATTGACGTGGCACCTCTTGTAGCGGAATGTCAAGGAACTGAGGTACACAAAAATATAGTTCATTGACCACTGATTTTAGGATCTATTTAATGGCTTAATTCTCCGATTTGCGGATTACTCGACTTTAGTTGGAAAAGTGAGTTTTGAATGGAAAGAGTTACTCTTAAAAATTTCAGGTCGAAAAAAGGGCTCGCTCTACATGTGGTAGAGAAGTTCGAAATGAAGGAGTACAAGAGATTCGGGTTCAGGTTCAACAAATTTACTAATTTTACTTTTTGCTTAGTTTTTTAAATAAATAGCTGCCAATCAAACTATTTATTTAATTTTAGAATTGTCCCTTGGATATCTTTGCTGTCTCATCACAAAGAGAAGTCAACGTCACATGGGAAGAACCAATCTTTGTGTCACCGAATGAAATTACCCGCATTGAGAAGAGTTTCAAACCGGGAACGGTAAAATTTGTTAAACAGAATAACTTTATTAAGTTTCTGCTAAAGATATAAAAAATGTCTATTCAGTTGCTTCCCCATGGACACTATCATGTTCTGTATGTGGCGCATGACAATGCACAAAGATCAGCCGTTTGTAGTTTTTCTGTAAGTTAGCTACTTACCTAACGTTATCTTGTTTAAAATTTCAAAGTTTTTTTAAACTAAACAGATAAAAGAAAAGCGTGTTGTTAGATTCGTGTCTCTCGAGAGCACTGCCCAGAAGTCTCTGATCCAGTAAATGGCCTTCAAGTCTGTGAAGCATGGGGACCAAATCTTCGATTCAAGGTCTAGTTTGAACTGATTCTAAAGAAACTATCTAAGCTGCATAACATCAAATTGAAATGCAAATAAAAGTATCGTCAATTTAGGCTTGTTCAATTGAATGCCGTGAGGGTTTCGCCTTTTCTCGGCCTCCTCCTGTTTTCTATGCTTGTGCCGCTGATGGTTTTTGGAGACCCCGCCCGGATCGAGCTCTTCACTTCAAATATCCACAGTGTACAAAGTAAGACTTGAAAAAATAGTCTTGTTTCAAAAGAAAACAATCAGATCAATTCCGGCAACTCGATCGGTGCAATTGAACGTTCAATATCCGGCCGCTTCGTTGTGTAACGAGGCTCATCGAGATGCTTTGATTGAAGAACTGAAAAAACGGATCGATTCGATTAATGCTAAATGGGATTTTTGCAGTGAAAAGTACGAAAAAGTTAGGTAGTCTATTTTTTGAAATTTTCAGAGCTGAAATGGGTGGATGTGCTGGAGTACAATTGAATGTTGAGTGTTTGACTGGTAGAGAAGCAGCCGCTCGGTTGCGTCGCGAACAACCAAACAATTCGCATATCTTCCATGTTCATGTCGAGATTCCTGTGAAAAGGTCTGTCTTGAAGTTTTGAAATTTTTAAGCTACCCAAAAGTTCATTTAATTGATTAAGCTAAGTAATGAAAGTATACTATTAGTATACTATTAGTAATGGAAGTATGAAAGTATGCCAATAAAAAATGCAGTAACCTTCTTTCAGAGATTTGGTTACATCATCAGCAAATGGGGAAAAGACTCGTGTAATCGAGGCTCTCCAAAGAGATATTCTCTTATTGGGAGCTCTTGATATTTCATCAGCTGTTCCACATGCTCGTCCCGATCTCGGGGCACTTCGTCTAATCGAGAAATTCTCTTGTCAACGAGGAAGTGTTACTGTTGATGATCTATGCGGTTTGATGCAAAAACGTATTCCAACATAACAAACACACTTTAGTACCTTGTGCTCCGGGAAGTCGATTCTCTGCCGAGCATTCAGAGTGTCAATTGTGTCCTATTGGTTTTTATCAAGTAATCAAGTGTAGATTTGTTAATGTAAATGATTATTGTAGCCGCTAAATGGCCAATCAGAATGCATCACATGTGGAGCCGGTAAGACAACAATGGTCGAAGGATCAACAAGTGGAGAAGAATGTAAAGACGATTGCCCACCTGGACATCTCTTTGATTTGATTGTCTCACAATGTAGACCTTGTGGATTTGGCTTTTATCAGCCATCTGGAGGTGTGCAAAGTTTCATTTATTGTTGACAGAAAATTTAGGATCCTTTGAATGTTCTGCTTGTGGAGTGGGTAAAACTACTCTGACGGAGAGAAGCACAAGTGAAGATGAATGCAGAGATGAATGCCCAGGTGAGAATTAACCTCCTTTTTAAGGAGACATCTACTGTTGCTAATATATTATTGTAAGTTTTCCATAAATCTAGCAGCAATAGTTTAGATGGAGAGCATATCTCATCGTCTGGAATGTGTCAACCATGTCCTCTAGGAACTTATCGAACACGAGGAGAACATAAAGAGTGCATCACTTGCCCACCTGGTAAGCAATAACAAAGTTTCGTAAGAGTCTTTCAAATGCAGGAACAACAACACAAACTACAGCAGCTATTCGTAGAGAGCAATGTGATACACCTCGATGTGTTCGAGGACAATTTCTTGTTGTTGCATCGTAAGTTGTTGAGGCTTTTAACCATTCAACCATTCAACCATTCAACCATTCAACCATTCAACCATTCAACCATTCAACCATAAGTAAACCATTCAATTACAGAAGACAATGTCAATTCTGTCCTCGAGGAACTTTCCAAGATGAAGAGCAACACACGTCGTGTAAATTATGCGATCCTGATCATACAACAGCGGCACAAGGAGCCACAGCAAGATCACAATGCTATTCGACAAATCAATGTGCAACTGGAGAAGACAATTGCTCTTGGCACGCCTCTTGTATTGATCTTCCCGATGAAAATGATGTTCCCTCATTTACTTGTAGATGTAAACCTGGATATAGAGGCAATGGCACGCATTGCTATGGTTTGTTTTTTGAGAGAAGTCAATTTTAACTAAAAAAAACTTCAGATGCGTGCACAAACTTCTGTTTAAACGATGGTGTTTGCAAGAAAACCCCCACTGGACATGTCGAGTGTCTTTGCAAGGACAACTTTAGAGGAGAACGGTAACAGATGAATCGACTTTTTCAGCTGACTTTTTCAATCTTCAAACACGAATCTAAATTCTAGATGCGAAGTCCGTTTCACTCCTCGTTCCCAGCGTGTTGCGCAGATCTCGGTGGGAGTGGGAGCTGTTGTTTGTGTATTGATTCTTGTTGTTTGTCTCATCTACATGATCTCCTGCCGATCCAATAGGTTTACTAATTATGTTTGAATGGTTTAAATTTATTTTCAGGGTACAAGAGCTTCCAGAAAAGCCGTCACTAGCTGACACAGTTCATTCAAATTTCCTCTTTGCCCGACCACCACCAATGGGTTTGTGAGAATCAATGTACAATGAATAATGCTGAACTAATTTATTTAGAAACTCCACGACCCATTGGCTACTATTATGAAGATGATGATGAATACGAAACAAGAAGTATTTTTGTTGGTGGAGCTGATTCGTCACATCATGGTAAGATAGTACTTTTCCGTTTGTTTATCAGCAAGATAAAAATTGATGTTATAGATCAAATAAAAAAAAGCTAAATTTGTTGCTAAAGGCTAAATTTATTGGCTCTATTTGATTCTACATTAAATCTTTCAATTTTAGCGACAATAAGCCAGGGTGTTATTGTTGAACCGTTGGATGGAGAAAATGAAGACCGAATGAGACATGTGATGTCCCATATGTATCGCCCCTCACGTCCATCCGATAATTCATCACATGAACATTTTTGATCAATCAATTAATCAATCATATATTCTGAATATACATCTAAATCCATGCTTCATTTTGTCTCATTCTCGCAATACGAGTTCTCTATAGGTGACTTGCTCTATCTTTTGTGTGTTTTAGCCTTGACATTAACGACAAATTCTCAGTTTTGTGTGCACCTCAAGAATTCTACACTTTCGAATTTGCCAACACATTCCATTTTTGCTCAACTTCTTTTATATAATCAATTGATATATAAATCTTTATCGAGATGATGAGGAACAAATACCGTTGACTAGTGTTTGCAAACTTCAATTTTATATCTACACAATACCTACACAATTTCCAGGTGTAAGTATCATCCACAGAGACTAGTGATCTTCCGCAAAATAAACAAAAAACAAAATTGCGACTAGATTTTCTTATCCAAGGCTTGTAACTTGAAGATTTTGAGGAAGTTGCAGATCTTAATTGCACTTGGAAGTCCTCTCCCCTTTTAATCTAGTGTACCAGAAAGTTTGTTTATGTGCAGTGATAGCACAAAGTACGCACGGGTTTAGTGTGGATAAAAATATCATAAAAGAGGATCACTTGTAAGCTGCCTTCAGCTTTTTGTACAAATCGAAAGATGCTAGAATTCTTCTTTTGTCAACTTTCAAGTATCAAAAGACTTTTTCTGGAGTGAACCTGAAAAAGAGAGATCGAGAGTTCATCACAAAAAAGAAATTTGTTTTCCTTTTACGTGAATGAATGAATGAAGATGAACCAACCCTTGACTTTGTCTAACTCTTGATCAAAGAAAAGAGGAAAAGAAAAGGAAAAGATACTTTTCGGCTATCAGCCAAATAAACAAACAATGGTGAAGAGAGGTGAGATAAATCCCATCTACGGGAAATATTTGAAGAGATAGCCTCACGTTCTTTTTCTCATCACGTCTTCCTCTATTCGATTTTATTTTTTGGTTTGCTATTACTACAGAAACCGGATTTTGTTGTCGATTTTCGTTGAAGCGACTTAAAGTAACTTTCTAATACGCTTCTTTTTTTATTCTAATCACTAATTTTAGATATTATGATGATGTATGATCTCATATTTTGTTTTCTTTCTTATATTGGGCCGATTCTTGGAGAACCATGGATATCAAATGTTTTGGGAGATCAGATACAGAACTCTCTTTTCAATAGCGCGCCCCCACTCGCAGATACACTAAGGTAAAAAAAAAGATCAATAATAGCTATTTGTTATACTATAAGCAAAGAAATAACAGTGAGAATTATCATTGACAATTTTTCTATAAAGGATTTTAGAGATGGTTTAATGGATCGATGGCATCATATGCCCGATTCGGTTGTGGATGGGGTGATTGGAGTAACCGCTGATGCACTAGCCGATTTTGTTGGGTACGTCACAAAGTCCCACATTTAATCTAATAGTAAGAAGAAAAATCCCGTTTGTTCTCGTAAGTGTGCCTTTTTAATTTCAGTTGGAACCCGCCCCCGTCGACTTCTTTTCCTGAATCACGCGGAGGTTGTCGATGGTTTGGAACGGCTCCTTTTTGTTTTGAAACATGTCCGGCTGATCATGATTTCATTCGAGAAGTAGGGGTTAATCGTAGAAATTGGAAGGCTAATAAAAAAATACTAAAACTTTGCTTAAAAATGAGTACATTTTAGTCAAGTGGTCGCTGTGAGAGTGACACAAACAAATGGTGCATTCCTGATGCTTCATTTGGTCAGCCATGTTCTGTCTTTTTCGGTCTTGGAATGACAAAGAAATTTTGCTGCAAGTAAGAAATTGTTTTTGGAGGTGTTCGCCGATTTTCATGCGTACCAAAAGGAGGTCCAATTCAGAAGTGATCCGGTGGATTGTACATGGAGTGGGCGATGGATGGAAGCAAATAATGGATACAATATTTATTGCAGATACGATTCTTCTGTTGGCAGGTTGGGATTCAAAAAGGGTATTTGATGAATGAATGAACAGCTAGGTGCATAGGTAGATGGTTTAAAAAGGTAGGTAATCTAATTCTAGGTATGTAATCTTGTAATCTTGCAAATGCAAACACTTTCAGATGCGGACAACTGCACTGCTCAATCAATCACCGGGATAGAAAAGCGGTTAACACTTCGCTAATTGGTGGGTAAAATATGTTAAACTCAAGCTAGTAAGCTACAACGCAAAATGTTTATGCTAACTTTCTTAATTTTTTTTTAATATTAACTGTCAGAGGGTGAACGATGTGATGAATTATCGATGTGGGAGAGTGAGGGTAAAGCAACATGTGGTCTAATTCAATGGACACGAAATGAAACAGTTCTTAACACTTGGTATAAAACACAGTAAAGTTATCAATAAATTTATCAATACAGAGGAAGGAAGAGAATAAACATTATTTCAATCATTTTTTGCTTTTTACACATGAATAGAGTTTGACAAATTGATTTTTTGCATTAACCGTTTAACTGGATATCTTTGACATTTTCTATTGCTCCACAACTCTTTCACTCATCTTGTCATTCTAAAACGCGCCCCAACATCTAGAGTCTGTACTTTGTCCAAAAGGAAGACCAGAGACCGCTTCAACTCCCAACCAAACCTAGAGATTTTCATCGAAAAATCGAAGTTATTTTCTGAAAATCAATATATTTTTTCTGTTTGCTTTTTTGCTATCTATAGATATGATATGACGTAGTTGTTGGGTACCTTTCTTTGGATATGTATTGCTAGGAGTGTTAAAGAAACATAGGTAACTTAGCTTTTGAACTTTCTCAACTCAACGTCCCGACTTCATTTTTGAGGGTAATAGATCCATGTAAATTAAATCAAAATTTGCATTATCCAGATTTTGTATTTGCAGTTTATAGCTACAGCGTGTAATTCCATAAAAAACGCTGAATGCTCCAACAGATCTGATGATTATCATTTTTTTGTTCTTCCTTGAGAACCTTTATTGTGCTCCCGTTCTGCCACATTTCGATTTGAAGTTTTCTAGTACTTACTCTTTTTTTTATTTAGATGTCATCTGGGGAATTCTGGCTGCTGTCGGTGCCTGGCGAGAAAAACGCAAATGACGCGTGGGAGAAATTGAATCGAGGCACAGGCAGTCTCTCCGCAAATGCCAAGTTCAACATTCCCGATCTCAAGGTCGGTATAATTAGAGTTGAAATTTTAGCAATGTTTTTTCTGTTTTGCATTCAAAGCACTCATAGCGATTTGAAACGTGAACTAAACACTAGCTTTAAAATGAGGTGTAGTATAAATAAAAAAGTCGATCTAGTTTACATAAAGTTTAAATAACGCCTTCGGTAAATAAACTTCTGGAATGTCTAAATTCTTTACAATTAACACCTATATACGTGTAACAAAAATTTGCATACAAATAAGCATTTGTCATTGGCTAAATTCTATTTTAGGTGGGAACTCTCGATCAACTCGTTGGGCTTTCAGACGATTTGGGCAAGCTCGACACTACTGCTGAAAGGTGGATAATTTTCTTTTTTGCAACGAACCTATTGAATTCCCCCTTCGTTATTTCTTAATTTAATCTTTTAGTGTAACGAGAAAGCTGGTGCAATATTTTGGAGATGTTCTTGAGGATGATCGCGACAAATTGTACGAGCATTTGGTGATTGGAAATAGTGAGTTGTAGTTTGTTAAATAGATACATTTTGATCTTTTTTTCTCTTTTTAGAAGACATGAAGAGCTACGTGACAAAGTTTCAATGGGAGAGCGCCAAATATCCGTTGAAGCAATCGCTCAAAGTCTTGTCGGAAATCATCGGAAAAGTAAGTTGAATTTTTGGGTTTTTATTTTCCTTACCAGTGTTTTGCCAACATTTAAGATGATTTGGTCATTTCAGCAAATCACACAAATCGACAACGATCTGAAGACGAAATCGTTAGGATACAACAATTTAAAGAACACCCTCGCATCTATTGATCGAAAAGCACAGTTAGTGGTTCGAATGACCTGGCCTAAACTGTTAGACTGCTCATAAGCTTGAGTTAACTTTGTTAGAATAATTTCAAATTGGTGCATGAATTGAAAATTTTATTGCAGAGGTTCTCTGATCACAAAAGACCTAAGCGATATTGTGAAAGCTGATGATTTTGTGTTGAACAGCGAGTATCTACAAACTTTATTGGTCGTTGTTCCAAAGTAAGCTTTCCCATTAGTTGTTTTAAAAACACATCTATTTAAGGATAAACGCCAAAGAATGGGAAATGAAATACGCGACAATGCACCAAATGGTCGTCCCCGGATCATCGAGATTGATCACCGAAGAAGGTGCTTAAATTTTACTAATGCTGAAAAAAGATTTCAAGGGTTATCTAAGTTGTAGCTGCGATAACCTTTTATTATATTTTAGTTACCTACTTTGTAGTAAGCAAATTTTAGAAAGTTTTATAGAATATTATCATTTTCAGGTGAACATTGTCTCTACTCGGTGACACTTTTCAAGAAAATAATTGATGAGTTCAAGAATAGCGCCCGCGAAAACAGGTACATAAATTAAAGTATTAATTTGGTTATTTAACTAAATTAGAGTTTTTACGTTTTTTGGCAGCATTTTACAGGATAGCAAAAATTATTTTAGTGAAAAAACATTAACAAACTTCACTAAAATATACCAGGAAAAAAACAGCTTTTCTAATGATTAGATATTTAGGTTTATCGTTCGCGATTTCGTCTATGATGAGGAGTCGTTGAAGGCGGGCAAAAATGAACGAGACAAACTCGTCGCCGAGAAACAACGACAATACGCGCCATTGATTCGCTGGTTGAAGGTTAGGAATGTTTTTTTCATTTTATAGTCATTTCCTTGGTGAGCTTAGGTTTTTACTTAAGTATAATCTAAAGTTCTAAATCGCTTATTCTCTACTCATTTAGATCAACTTTGGTGAAATCTTTGCCGCCTATATCCACGTGAAAGCCCTCCGCGTCTTTGTTGAATCCGTATTAAGGTACTTTTACTTGCACCTTTAGTTCTCAATAACTTATAGGTATGGCCTACCTGTAAACTTCCAAGCATCTATCGTCGAGCCCAACAAAGGAGCCCAAGTATTATTTTGCTGATGTTACCCGTGCTTTAAAAACCTTAACACAAAATGGTTTCTTAGAAAAAGCTACGCATCGAGCTGAACAAACTCTACATCCACCTCGACGGCACAGCGGCCGGTCCCATTGATGTAAGTTTTGGATTGTTGCATATTTTTGCAATGCTGCTTGTGTCTAGTCATGAAAATTCTAACCAATCAGGCTGCTTGCGAATAACGTTCATCGACAAGGATTATTTCTTATATAATTGATATTTTTTAGTCATTTGAAGACAGTCCTGCTTTGATGTCCCTTGGAGTGAACGAATACTATCCATACGTCTTCTTCAAATTGAATATCGATTTTGTTGAGAAACGCTAACCGAATACCCATCCTTTTTCTTGCCGAATTTTGTAAGTTTTTGATGATGAAAGCGATAAATCTATTCGGTTTAATAGCTGTAGAATATAGTTTCATCATATAATATGTAGTTTCTCTTGTTTTGTACATTTTTCTAGATTAGCACCATCCAATTCTCATTGTGATACACGAAAGAATTCCATTTTTATTTGAATTTATTTTTTGTAGATAAAATATTTCTGCATCATGTCGTGCGGTAAAACGTTTATGAACATTCAGACATTTTCATCAGAGATCAGATGCTTTTTTAAGCCATAGAATAAATACATAAGGAACAAAGAAATTTGATGTATCAGAAGAAAACAAGCTACAGGCGCAACTATCACACAAGAAATTTTGAAGGCTTTCAGTTCATCCATTTTTGACAATTCGGAGCTCCACATAAACAAGAGATTTTTGTTTCTTCTTCCAATTCAAATTGATAGTCATAAGTCAACTGAAAAGCTCGTTTTTTGTGATCTGTGTTGCATTTGTTACAAACCTCTTCATGGGCTTTTATCGGTCGATTGGCGGTGATAATAATCTTTTTGTCTTCGGCCGATGATCCGGCTTGAATTATCCGCGTAGAACAATTTGGATCACACGAATGATTGATGTATCTGAAATTAATGGTATTGTTTTTTTGTTTTTGTCATTTCGGTTCACCTAGCACATCCGCCGGCCATCGTTGCATCAATCACGCTAAAATTAAAATGCATTTTTCTCTTTTATGGTAAAATACTATCGATTTTTGTGAGATTTTTAAAGGTTAAGGCACTTTTAGCAAGGCTATCAGCAGCAATTTGTTCCAATCGACTAATCGTTCTAAATGCAAAAATTTTTTTTTGTTCGTGTAATATTTCTTGCTTTTGAAATGAAAGGCTTTTTCGTAACAAGTAAGTAAATTTGTAAGCCAAAATGCATCCACAAACATTTCATCGTCGATTCGGAACATATAGACACCTCGGTTCTGAGCTGTGTATCTCTTCTCTCTCACTTCACATATCTAATTTCTCTTTTAGGCTTAGTTTTTCTCTTTTACAAAACCTCGCTTCGTATCAATTCTCCTTTGTATTCAATGATCATTGCGTGCATATCGATATCGGCTTTAGCGTACAATCCGAGCCCTTGAATCTTTGATCTGAAATTTTTCTTTAAAAGATCCAGATTTATATTGTTCGACCTTGCAAGATAGACTGTGTTTTGCCATTCTTTCTTCATCTTCTGATAGGCCGTATAGATCGATGCATTGGTTTGTGGTTCGCTGGCTTGGAATTTCATCGCTGCCACCCATTCGGCACCGACGCCCGACGCAGTGAGCATCTTTTGGAACTGAATTTGAGTGTATCGATTTTATGAAATGTTCAACTACCTCCGCAGCTGCTAATTCTTGATCATAAGTGCTTCCATATCGAGCCGATGTCCTTCTTCGACCCGAGATTGACATTGATGTTGATGAGCTACTTGAGGTCGATTCGGTCGTTTGAGCGCTCACCGACGGGCGAGATCGATGCTTCTTGATTAGCGTTCTGAAAATAAGATTTGTCACATGTATTGTTTTGCGTAAAAGTACAGTAAATGTAATGTACAGTACTCTATAATTGTGCAAAAGGACTAAAGAAAATAAGTTCGCTTGACTAAAGATAATCATAAGGGTAAAGCTAAAACGTATTTGTTTTTGTTTCCTGTTCTTAATGTATTATAGTTTTTTGCATAGTTAACCTGCAACGTGGTTCTGTTCTTGCGCATCCAGACGGGTTTTCGGCAAGAGGCAATTCGAGAATGGGTGCTCCTCCATGACGAAAAGAATATGTGTACAGTGTATCCACTCCTTGATAATATCACATTTCAACAGAATCTTTTCTTTGAAAATACCTGGTAGACTTTCCGTTATTTTTGTGAT